CGCCCCCTCCCCCGCCCCCACCCTGCGCCCCCCTGAGCGACGCCGACCTGAGGTCGTACCTGGGCCCAGGTGGGCGCCTGCTGCGGCCCCAGGACCTGCGGCTGCACGTCTTCCACGGCGGCGTCGAGCCCGGCCTGCGCAAGGTGAGGGACCAGAGCCACACCTGGGACACAGCTGGGGGGTGTGGTCACACCTGGGACACACCTGGGGGGTGTGGTCACACCTGGGACACAGCTGGGGGGTGTGGTCACACCTGGGACACACCTGGGGGGGTGTGGTCGCACCTGAGATACACCTGGGGAGTGTGGTCATACCTGGGAGGGGTTCTGATGTCACCTGGGGTCTTCTGAGCCACATTTTGGGGTGTTCTGAGCCACACCTTTGGGGGTTATCTGACGTCCCTGAGGCTTACCTGACGGTTGTGATTACACCTGAGTCACACCTGGGGTGTTCTGGTCACACCTGAGTCACACCTTGGGGGTTCTGATGTTGCCTGATGTCACCTCAGCCGCACCTGGAGATCCTCAGATCCATCCTGACCAGCACCTGAGAGTTCCTGCTGTCCCTGATCCCATTTCCCCCTGTACAAGGGGTGTGTTGTTACCTGCTGAATTTGTTCTTGTTCTCACCTGTCACCATTTCCCCCCATACCTGTGGACTGGCGTTACCTGTGGAACACATCCCTGATCCCTCACCTGTACCCATTCCCCCTTACAGGTGGTCTGGCCCTGATCCCTCACCTGTCCCCATTCCTGTCCCCATTCCCCCATACAGGTGGTCTGGTGTTACCTGTGGGACATATCTGTGGTCTCTCACCTGTCCCCATTCCCCCATACAGGTGGTCTGACGTTACCTGTGAAACACATCCCTGATCCCTCACCTGTCCCCATTCCCCCATACAGGTATCTGGCCCTGATCCCTCACCTGTCTCCATTCCCCCATACAGGTGGTCTGGCCCTGATCCCTCACCTGTCCCCATTCCCCCATACAGGTGGTCTGGCGTTACCTGTGGAGCACATCCCTGGTTTCTCACCTGTCCCCATTCCCCATACAGGTGGTCTGGCCCTGATCCCTCACCTGTCCCCATTCCCCCATACAGGTGGTCTGGCGTTACCTGCTGAACGTGTCCCTGCTCTCACCTGTCCCCACTCCCTCCATACAGGGGATCTGGCGTTACCTGTGAAACACGTTCCTGGTTTTTCACCTGTCCCCATTCCCTCTGTACAGGTGGTCTGGCGTTCTCTGCTGAATGTGTCCTTGCTCTCACCTGTCCCCGTTACCCCCATACAGGTGGTCTGGCGTTACCTGTGGAGCACATCCCTGATCCCTCACCTGTCCCCATTCCCCCATACAGGTATCTGGCCCTGATCCCTCACCTGTCTCCATTCCCCCATACAGGTGGTCTGGCCCTGATCCCTCACCTGTCCCCATTCCCCCATACAGGTGGTCTGGCGTTACCTGTGGAGCACATCCCTGGTTTCTCACCTGTCCCCATTCCCCATACAGGTGGTCTGGCCCTGATCCCTCACCTGTCCCCATTCCCCATACAGGTGGTCTGGCGTTACCTGCTGAACGTGTTCCCCGCCGGCCTGACGGGCCAGGAGCGCCTGTCCCACCTGCGCCTCAAGGCGGCCGAGTACTCCTCGCTGAAGGTGGCCCTGGCGGCGCGCGCGGCGCCGGCTGAGCTGGCGCAGGTGGCCGCGGCGGTACGCAAGGACGTGGTGCGCACGGACCGCGCCCACCCCTACTTCGGCGGCCCCGAGGAGGGCCACCCTCACCTGGCGGCGCTGCAGGCGCTGCTGACCACCTTCGCGCTGGGCCACCCGCGCCTCTCCTACTGCCAGGGCATGTCGGACGTGGCGGCGCCGCTGCTGGCCGTGCTGGACGACGAGGCCCAGGCCTTCCTGTGCTTCTGCTCGCTGATGCGCCGCCTGGCCCCGCGCTTCCGCCCCGGCGGCCGCGGGCTGGCGCGGGCCTTCGGCCACCTGCGGCGGCTGCTGCGGCGCGCCGACCCCCCGTTCTGGGCCTTCCTGGCGGCGCGCGGCGCGCACGACCTGCTCTTCTGCTACCGCTGGCTGCTGCTGGAGCTGAAGCGCGAGTTCGCCTTCGAGGACGCGCTCAAGGTGCTGGAGATCACCTGGAGCTCGCTGCCCCCCGCCCCGCCGCCGCCCCCCGAGGGGGTCCCGCTGCTCGGAGCCCCCCTGGGGGCGCGCAGGGCCGGCCGGGGGCTGAGGGAGCGCCGGGGGCTGCGGCCGCGGCCGCCCAGGAGGAGGAGGAGGAGGAGGAGGAACGTGGAGGAGGAGGAACGTGGAGGAGAAGGCGCTGGAGGGGTCACGGAGGGTTCTGGTGGTGGCTTTGGGGGTCTCAAGGGTTCCAGTGATGGCCCTGAGGGTCCCACGAGCTCCAGTGATGTCCCGGGTGGTCCCACGAGCTCCACTGGTGGCCTAGAGGGTCCCACGAGCTCCAGTGACGTCCCAGGTGGTCCCACGAGCTCCAGTGGTAGCCCTGGGGGTCTCAAGATTTCCAGTGATGGCCCAGAGGGTCCCAGGAGCTCTGGAGATGTCCCCAACAGTCCTGAGATGTCTAGCGAGGTCTTGGAGAGTCCCAAGAGCTTCAGTGATGTTCTGGAAGGATCCAAGGGCATCCAGGAGCATCCCGAGAGCCCCCATGATGTCCCTGATGGTCCCAGGGACCACCAGGAAGCTCCCAAGAGCTTTAAGAACATTCAGGAAGGTCTTGAGACCCCCAGCGAAGTCCCCAAAGGTCACAAGAGCGCCAGCGATGTCCCCAGAGGTCACAAAAGCTCCAGTGATGGCCCCAAAGGTCACAAGAGCTCCAGGAAGGTCCAGGGGAGACCCACCAGGGATGCTGGAGGAGCCCCCGAGGGCTCCAAGGACTCGGAGCCAGGTGGCTCCAGGAAGGTGGAGGAAGGCACCGACGCCCTGGAGATCGACCAGAGACCCCACAGCCTCTGCTGGGGGGCTGGAGAAGACCCCAGAAAAGGACAGGATGGCCCCAGAGAGGGACGTGACCCAAGAGAAGGACGAGATGACCCCAAAAAGGGAGTGGATGACCCCAAAGAGGGATTTGATGACCTGAGAAAAGGACGAGATGACTCTGGGATGAGTCGTGGTGACGCCGGGAAGGTTTACGATGATCTCAGAGAAGGACACGGCTTTGGAGAAGGCCACAACAACCCCAGGGATGGCCACCATGCCCCCAGGGATGGATATGATGACCCCAAGGAAGGACGTGATGATTCCAGACATGGCCACGGTGACCCCAAGGACAACCACGATGACCTCAAACATGGCCACCACGACCCCAAGGAAGAACATGATGACACCAAACACGGCCACCACGACCTTGAGGACGACCACCGCCACCCCAAGACCACCCGCAACAACCCAACCACCCCCGAAGACCCTTGGGGCGGCCGTTGGGCTTGGGAAGACCCTTCCTCCAGCTCCTCCTCCTCCTCGTGCTCCTCGGGCTCGTCCTCCTCGGACGAGGAGGTGACGGTGGAGGACGACGGGGCGCCGCTGCCGCCGCCAGAAGAGCTGGGCCAGGGGAACCCCTTCCTGCTCTTCGTGTGCCTGGCCATGCTGCTGGAGCAGCGCGAGGCCGTCATGGCGCGGGCGGGCGACTACAACGAGGTGGCCATGCACTTCGACCGCCTGGTGCGCCGCCACCACCTGCCGCGCGTCCTGCGCCGCGCCAAGGGGCTCTTCGCCAGGTACCTGGAGGGCTGGGGGGCCACCGCGCCGGGGGGACCCCCGGTGGGACCTCCTTCGGGGTAGGGGATGGGCTCGGGAGCGCCGGTGGGGTAGGGGGTGTGGGGGAGAGAGGGTGGGAATGCCGTAGGGAGGGGTGTAGGGCGAGGTGGCGAGCCCGTGAAACACCTCAGAGTGGGTCTGAGGTCATCGTGAGGGGCTCCAGAGTCGCTGGAGGTCTGAAGGACAATGTGGAGACCCCATAGAACATCTCAGAGTGGTTCTGAGGGTCTCCAAAGTCGCTGGAGGTCTGAAGGACAATGTGGAGACCCCATAGAACATCTGAGAGTGGTCCTGAGATCATCACGAGAGGCTGCAGAGTCATTGGAGGTGTGTAGGACTAGATGGAGACCCCATAAAACATCTGAGAGTGGTCCTGAGGTCATGAGTGGCTCTAAAGTCACTGTGGGTTTGTAGGACAAGGTGGTGACCCCACAGAACATCTCAAAGAGGTTCTGAGGACCTCCAAAGTCGCTGGAGGTCTGAAGGACAATGTGGAGACCCTACAGAACATCTGAGAGTGGTCCTGAGATCATCACGAGAGGCTGCAAAGTCATTGGAGGTGTGTAGGGCAAGGTGGTGGCCCCATAGAACATCTCCAAGAAGTGATGAGGTCATCGTGAGGGGCTCCAAAGTCAGTGGAGGTGTGTAGGACATGGTGGTGACCCCATAGAACATCTTAAAGAAGTCTTGAGGTCATCATGAGGGGTTCCAGAGTCACTGGAGGTGTGTAGGACTAGATGGAGACCCCATAAAACATCTGAGAGTGGTCCTGAGGTCATGAGGGGCTCCAAAGTCACTGGAGGTGTGTAGGGCAAGGTGGTGGCCCCACAGAACATCTCCAAGAACCCCGTGGTCACTCTGGAGTCCTGTGGGACGATGTGGGGACACTTTAAAAGTCCCCTTAAGGCCACTATGGGGACTCCAAAGTCACTGGAGGTCTGTAGGACAATGTGGAGACCCCATAGAACATCTTAAAGAAGTCTTGAGGTCATCATGAGGGGTTCCAGAGTCACTGGAGGTGTGTAGGACGTGGTGGTGACCCCATAGAACATCTTAAAGAAGTCTTGAGGTCATCATGAGGGGTTCCAGAGTCACTGGAGGTGTGTAGGACTAGATGGAGACCCCATAAAACATCTGAGAGTGGTCCTGAGGTCATGAGGGGCTCCAGAGTCACTGGAGGTGTGTAGGACATGGTGGTGACCCCATAGAACATCTCCAAGAACCCCGTGGTCACTCTGGAGTCCTGTGGGACGATGTGGGGACACTTTAAAAGTCCCCTTAAGGCCACTATGGGGACTCCAAAGTCACTGGAGGTCTGTAGGACAATGTGGAGACCCCATAGAACATCTCAGAGTGGTCCTGAGGTCATGAGGGGCTCCAGAGTCACTGGAGGTCTGTAGGACAAGGTGGTGGCCCCATAGAACATCTCCAAGAAGTGATGAGGTCACCATGGGGAGGCTTTGGTCACTGCCAGGGTCTGTAGGACAACATGGGGACACCATAAAATGTCACCCTGAGGCCACCAAGCCTCATAGTGGGTCTGAGGTGATCGTGAGTGGCTCCAAAATCACTGTGGCTTTGTAGGACAAGGTGGTGGCCCCACAGAACATCTCCAAGAACCCCGTGGTCACTCTGGAGTCCTGTGGGACGATGTGGGGACACTTTAAAAGTCCCCTTAAGGCCACTATGGGGACTCCAAAGTCACTGGAGGTCTGTAGGACAATGTGGAGACCCCATAGAACATCTCAGAGTGGTCCTGAGGTCATGAGGGGCTCCAGAGTCACTGGAGGTGTGTAGGACAAGGTGGTGGCCCCATAGAACATCTCCAAGAAGTGATGAGGTCACCATGGGGAGGCTTTGGTCACTGCCAGGGTCTGTAGGACAACATGGGGACACCATAAAATGTCACCCTGAGGCCACCAAGGGGACCCTCTGGTCACTGCCGGGGTCTGTAGGACAGTGTGGAGACCCCACAGAACATCTCCAGGGACCCCAAACCCATCATGGGGGACTCCCAAATTGAGCGTGAGAACCTGTAGGACGCTGTGGGGACACCATAAAATGTCACCCTGAGGCCACCTTGGGGACATTTGGTCACTGCCAGGACCTGTAGGACACTGTGGGGACACCATAAAATGTCACCCTGAGGCCACCTTGGGGACATTTGGTCACTGCCAGGACCTGTAGGACACTGTGGGGACACCATAAAATGTCACCCTGAGGCCACCCTGGGGGTATGTGGGACACTGTGGGGACCCCAGAGACCCCAAATAGGGACAGGTGGGTCCTTTTGGGGTCCCCAAGGCCACCCTGGGGTCAGCAGGGACCCCCAGAGCTCCCCATGACCCCCCAGAGACCCCTCCCAGTATGAACCAGTAGAGCCCAGTGCCTCCCTGCTGGGTTCTGCACCACCGTGGGACATCCCAGTACAAACCAGTGTGAACCAGTACCAACCACTGCAACGTCCCGCCTGGGAACTCCTGGATTTGCGCTGCCTTGGGCCGGACCAGTACAGACCAGTATGGACCAGTACAGACCAGTACGGACCAGTTTGGAGCAGGAAGGGGCTGGGAGCCCCCCACGTGCATCGCCTTGTGCCGGACCAGTACGGACCAGTACGGACCAGTACAGACCAGTACGGGTATGGACCGGTACATGGCCTTCAGCCATCCCAGCATGCACCAGTATGGACCAGTACGGACCAGTCCGGCAGCCAAACTGGGAGCTCTTCACCGGCGTGGCCTTGGGTCCTCCCAGCACGGACCAGTATGGACCAGTACAGACCAGTACAAACCAGTACAGACCAGTACAAACCAGTACAAACCAGTACAAACCAGTGCAGAGCTCTCCTCACCCGCGTGGCCTTGCGTGCTCCCAGTACGGACCAGTACAGACCAGTATGGACCGGTAGGGTGCCCCCACTGCTGTGTTGATGCCCATAGGCCTTCTCCCAGTATGGACCAGTACAAACCAGTTCCTGCCCCCCGCCCTGGGTGCCTTCTCCTCTCCCCCCCCTCTTATTTATTGCCCCTCCCCCCCCAGCCCGGGGGGGTCCCGGGGGGGTCCCAGAGGTGCCGGAATCGCCAATAAACGATGCCTGTTACTGGTGTGGCTCCCAGTATGGACTGGGAGGGACTGGGAGGGGCTGGGGGCTCCCAGTATGGACTTGGGAGAGAATTTGGGGCTCCCAGTATGAACTGGGGGTCCCAGGGATTTTTTGGGGTTCCCAGGGGAGGTTTTGACATTCCCAGTTGAGGTTTTGGGGTTCTCAAGGGTTTTTTTTTTTTGGGATTTCCCGGGGATTTTTGGGATTTCCCAGGGGTTCTCAGAGATTTTTGGGGGTCCCAAAATTTGGGGATGAGCCGGGGGGGGCGTCAGGGGGGGGACAACGTCCCCTCGGAGCTGCTGGGGGAGCAGGAGAACCAGCGGATCTTCGAGCTGCTGGGCAGGAAATGCGTGGTGAGGAACTGGGGGAACTGGGAGGGACTGGGAAGGGAAACCGGGGGGATTTGGCAGGGTTAAGGGGGATTTGGGGGGATTTAGGGTGGGATGGGGAGGATTTTGGGGGAGTTTGAGGCACTGGGAGTGACTGGGAAGAGGAACTGAGGAGGGTTTGGGGGGTTTAAGGGGAATTTGGGTTTCAAAGCAGATTTAGAAGAAACTTTCCTCCACTAACTTAAGCTTGAGTACCGGGTCTCAAATTCTGGGGGGGACCCCAAATCCTTGGGGGGTCCCCAAATCCTTTGGGGAATCTCTTAAATCCCGAGGGGGACCCCAAAATCCTGGGGGGTCCCTAAAACCCAGCGGGGTGGGTCCAGGACAGCCCCTGCTGGTTCTGCTTTATCCTTCTCTTATTTGAGGGGGGTCCCAAATTGTGGGGGGACCCCAAATCCTTGGGGGGGGGTCCCTTAAATCCCCGGGGGGACCCCAAATCACCTGGGGAACCCCAAATCCTTGGGGAATGTCCCCAAAATCCTGGGGGGTCCCTAAAGTGCAGGGGGGTGGGTCCAGGACATGCCCTGGTGCTTTCACTTCATCATCCTCCTTTTAATTGAGGAGGTCCCAAATTTTTGGGGGACCCCAAAATCTTGGGGGGGCCCCAAATCCTGAGGGGGGGTAGGGCCAAATCCTGGGGGAATCCCAAAAATTCTGAGATGGGGAGAGGAGGTGAAGGGGACTGGGGTTGGGTGGGGGTCCCTGAGGGGTTTTGGGAAATTTGGGTGGGGTTGGTGGGTGGGGATATGGAAATGTGGGCGGGGTCTGTGGGTGGGGCTGGAGGTGGTCAGGTGGGAGGAGCCATTGTGGGTGGGGCAAAAGGGGAGGGGCTTAAATGGGTGTGACAAAGGGGAGGGGTTAAATGGGTGTGGCAAAGGGGGAGGGGCTTAATTGGCCCGCCCCTTAATTGGTGTGGCAAAAGGGGAGGAGCTTAAGTGGTAGTAGCTTGGGGGTGGGGCCAAGGGAATGCAGGGCTGTGGGTGGGGCCAAATTGTAGTGGGGGCGTGGCTTAGCTCAAGTGGGTGTGGCCAGACTATGGGTGTGGTCATCTCAATGTGGGTGTGGCCTGTGCTCAATGGGTGGGGCATAACCATGTAAGGAAACTGGGTGTGGCTGCCAGTGGGCGTGGCCTTTGACAGGCAGAGTCAGCGGCACATAACCATATAAGGTGAAATGGGCGTGGCTGTGGCCCGTTGTGGGTGTGGCCAGTAGGATATTGCCATATAAGGGAAAGTGGGTGTGGTTTGGATAAGCGGGTGTGGTTCTGGATAAGTGGGCGTGGCCTGGCTGCCCACGGCCGCTCCTGATTGGCTCAGGAGGGGTGGGCGGGGCTGAACTTCGCGTCTGAGGCCGAGGCTGCGACGTTCGAGGGCCGAGTGCAGGAGAGGCTGCGGCGGCGGCAGCAGCGGGGGGGTGAGAGAGAGACCCCTCCCCAAAACCCACCTGGGGACCTCAAACCCACCTGGGGAGCCCAAACCCAC